GGAGTCCTCCCCATACATGTATAAAATTTGTTTTCAAATAGCTAATGAAATAAATTCGTGTGGAAAGACCGAAGTAGTATTGGGGTTCTTATCCTTGAAGTTAACCGCAATAAAGCAAATATTCAAGTGGCCTAAAAATGAAAATTTGTGTCCTTGGTTGACCCAGATATGGTTAATAGCTATATTTTACACTACGGTAATTAGACCGATATACAAATAATCAGTACGAAAGGGAATCTAGTTCACGGCTCTTGATATGGCAGGAATTATTTGCGACATTGCAAATTTCAAATAACTACTAGTGCGTTATTATGGGGAGTAAGAATTAAGTAAATATTATTTTGTTGATTATTGATTTACAATTATATATTTACTAATTAACAACCCGTACAGACGTCTGCTTGTTAAATAAAATGTATATATGCTCAACACCGGAATTCTGATTTGTATGCAAGTTTACAAGGAGGCTCGTGACCAGATCCAAAAACCAGACCTGCCTTTTAAGGTCTGCCGAGACACCGGAAAAGAACTTAGTAAAAGTAACCAGAATTTTAAACTATATGTTGCATAATATTTAATATTGTTATGCATCCTTGAATAAATTAATTCCATTAGCAAAGTATACCGTTGGGATTTAAAAAAAATGCACTTGTCTGATTATAATCCCAATTTAATTTCGAACTATCCGATGAGGTTCATGTCTGCTAGTGTAATGTATATTCTAAAATGTAATATATATAGAAAGGTTGTTTGGCTTGAATGCCATCGAGATCGTTAAATATAGATCTAGCGATTTGGTCAAGGTTTAAATCACCTGTTTAGGAAGACGTATGTTGCAACCTTTATTTGTTCTTCATTTCTATAAGCTGTGATGGTTGATCTTTGTAAGATCACAACCAAGGTAATTATTGAAAATGGCAGTAAGTAGTAATCAAGTTAATATGATAAAACCGGCAAATAACGGAAAATAATGATATTTTATCCTTAATGATCATAATGAAGACAGATTCAATCTGAATAAAAATAGACAATTGTCTAGTCTGCCTGCTGCATTATTTAGGTTTTGACGCTATTCTTGGAATGCTATTTTAGGCCATATTAACATGTAATATTGATTTGCTCGTGAAATAAGCACGTTTGACTTTGTTTTATAAAAAAGTCGAATGTTTGGTTCTACGATACTTTTATTACTAACGAGGACTGCCTAAGTTTTTTTAATGTATGTCTTTTACATGTTCTATGCTTTCATACAAGCCGCAAATATATAAAACATTTGTAAACATGGCTTCAACTCGTTAATTTTGGTATTTAAGTTTTTGATGGGCTGAGGCAGACTTCAAATATGTTCATATATTATAACACAGGCCTTTAGCTGAAGCGGAAATTGAATCATGATTTCAAATGTGCCTCCGAGATTTTTACAATTTTTTTTCGCTTGGATCTTGTATGGGTTCCTCACCATTGCTTAGGTCTTGTACGGGTTTCTAATTTTTTTTTTCTTTTTTTTTATAATGAAAATACAGAAAACAATATAATTACCGATGCCACGTTCGGATTCCGAGTTCTCAAGCTTTTACTTTTTAAGAAGCTGCATGATTCTTAACAAACATCAACATACAAAAAGCACTTTCACAGTACTGTTAAATCCGGATTAATATATACATTTAACTCTTTTATTATGCTTACATCTTTACTTATTTATAAAAGGGTTTGGTGTGATTTTTAAGTTTAGTGTTAGTTTACGAGTCATCATCAAATGCTGATGGGAAAAAATAAAACATTTTCTCAACACTTTTAAGGTCTCAGAAGAGACTTTGTCTCAGAAATGTGAAAGTAGAGAAACGGTATTATTTAAGTTAATATTGTAATTGCAGCAATGTTTAAATTACGTAATAATTCGTCTTTTTGGCTGTGAGTTAGCGGTTTGTACGATGGTTTTGGGATCATACTTAGTTATATTCTGTCTGTCTGTTTATATTCGATATATTACTCGTTAGGCAACAAAAGACGTGTTTATCACGTGTACAAGGCTTTAGAAGTATGTATTTGTATGTAATTCGGATTATTGAAACTTTTAGCGATTTTTTACTTAATATTAATACGAAATACAAATTGTATTTCAATTTTGTCCGAATTACAAGGAAATTTGCTTTTACGTGTAGCCTAGGTTATCGTTCAATCAATATTTCTTAATTATGTGGTAAAAATTAAAATAAAAATGTAATGTAAAAAAGTATATACATATAGTGATTTAATGGCAAAATATACTATCCGTTAAACTTACTAAATCTGCTGTTAAAGTTACATTAAAGCTTCTATAAGAGAGGCATTATGAAGCTACCTTTAAAATAACCACAAATTATAAAGCAAACAGTGCATATTTCACCAAAATCGGACTATTCGAACTTGCAAATTAAAGTCATGAAGTTTACGTAAAATTAATGGATTTCTTTTGTCCCGGCCTATTATAATGTTGACATGATAGCAAAAATTACGACAAAACATCGCGATATTTATTAAAATATCGGAATTTACACTTTCACTTAAATGCATTACTTCAAAGCTGTAGGATAGGGGCACATTTGTAAAATACGTCACCGAGCTATTATCGGTATATTGGGTTTTAAATACTATTTTATTATTCTCATTTAATTTGCTACGCTTTTATCTCAATAAAATATAAATATGTGTAATATCTATTTTTTGCTAGATACTGTATACAGCTACTTAAATTCACATTCCCGTGAGATTCCGTAGATTCCATGGATTCCGATGATGCAGCAGCAGATCTACGTACACCTACTTTATGAGATATACTTTGATTTCTAAATTCTTCAAAACCACTTCAGTCTGCACATATACAATACATAAATAAAAGGTTTTAAAATGTATTATTTTAGTCACGTGGGTTTCAATTCGTTGACGCAAAAACCATCATATTTGTAGTTTAATTATCGATATTATGCAAATTTCTCTACAAAGGTGAAGTGGACAAAACTATATGCAAAATGATTTCGATTATACTGGTCGAGGATTTATTTACATAATTGTTCAAAATCACTGTAGGTGTCTGATAATTAATGCAGAATGAAAATTCACCAAGTCGTTTACTTATTTGAGATGTGAATAATTGCGTATTGCTATTGTGAAAAGATCACCATTTCTACATGCAACTTAAAACCGTAATGTCTAATTCTGTACATACTACCAATGAGGATTCATTGTTATGTTTCATCTATACTGAAATGGTATATCTATTGTTTTTGTAAACAATAGGTGTCATGTTTGCTTTCCCTATAATTTACAGTGTTATTGCCTACTTATGCGCGGATACCGAAGATATGATTATGCCAACATATATGTATGTCTTTACCTAAACTTGCACCCGTATTGAAATGTTCAAAAACGTATTGTTAAGTTGCAGTAACTGTCCCTAAAGCTGAATAATTTTTTTATATAGAGTTTAAAGCCGTTTTATTTATTGTTGCCTCCTATACAGTGTAAACGTAAAATATGAAACATTTTAAGCAAAGTCTATCAAAATGAAAAAATTGCTCTGACACTTTAATTTACAAATGCGCACTATTTGACATAAAAGTATTTTCCATACTTTACTTTTTATTTAACAGTTATGCTTTAATTTATTTTAATACCAACCCCACTTTTTGATATTGCCATTTGAAAGATCAAGTAAATCAGGACGATTTCGATTGCAATTCCAACATAACACTATTTTTTAGATTTAAAAGAAATTAAGTACTTTATTTGCATGTTTTTAATGCGTTCTTCTAATAAGTAATTTGTGTTACTATCGTAATAAATAGGAAATATCATAATATTATTTACTGCAAAAAAGTGCAGTGACAAAAAAGGCCAAGCATTGAAATACGTTTTTAAACTGGGTACCATTTAGTTTAATTAAATTCTTGTCACACTTGGTGAGTGATTCGTCTGGTCACTTACAATGCCCCAATCTTCAATATTATTTGGTCGATTGACGTAAATTTTAGAGATCTGGCAGACCATTTAATCTAAGTTTTTCTTCTATCAATCCATTTGTTCTTGGGAAAATTATATAATTAAATAAGTTTGAATAAATTGTGAACGGTGTGGAGTGGGTGGATGTGCGACGGCTTGCTGCAACCATAGATAATAATTGGGAATGATAGAAGAGATACTCCGGATTTGAATACAAAACAGCAAATCTACATAAAGTATTAAATTTTCTCGTCGATGCTGTAAATAATTAGGGCCAGTTAGAGAACATTATATTAAAAACGTACTGATGATTGAAGCACATATAATCCCTGTCCATAGGTTGTCCTTTTTGATTTTGATAGGATTTTGTTGTGTATGCGTGTCCGCCATCCAGTCTAGATTTTTAGGTGCTTAATATAGGCAGTTCTTCCTGTTGGCAGAACCATTTAAACAGAAAAATAATTCATCTGTGAAAAAACTCTGGTCAAAACTATCCTTATTAAGTTCATGTACGAAATTAATTTTGAATGTATGCAATTTGTCCTGCTTTCGGAATTTTAGTTTCTTTGCGATCTGTGGGCTTGATGACAAATTTTCTTCCTCTGTTATTAAAATTCTTTTTCTGAGACTTCCGAACTCCCTTGTTTAAACTGATCCTTTTCAGGAATCAAAATCATGATTCTAGTTCAAAATCTTGGTGATTATTTACTGTTTCTGAGATAATAAAGTGGGCAAACAATAGTTTTTTAAAGGCATTGAGAAACAAAAATTGTAATGAAATTGTTATGTAACCTATGGAGAATTTAATGGTGCTGTGTACAGAGCTTCGTTTTTTTTTTAATGACGTTATGACCCATAACATTAATGACGTCATAAGAAATAATTTGATATCGAAATGTACGTGTACGAATTTTTTTTAAACGTTTATCTGTATAGTTTTTATTTAATATATTTAAGTTCATACTACACATGTTCCAATATGTATATAATTCTATATAAGTAAAAATCACTTTTTTTTTCAGTAGCTCGAACTCCTCCTCCGGAACCTGAACCATTTCAAATACCTGAACGCGATTTTACATCAGGTAATATAGATAATGTAACTTATTTACTCGATGCTAACACTTCGATTTTACAGCTCCTGTGGTATACGACAACTACCCAACTGAGCCCCAAATTTTAGGAGATAATATGACTGAAAACGTCGAGGCCCTCTCTTTAGACAATAGTGTGAACAACTATCTTAACTCTGATTCAGAACCCCCTAATATCAGTCCCAACAAGTTTTCTAGGTCAAAATCAAATTTGGATCAAGTAAGTATAATTCCTGCTAATATAATCTAATTTTGCTTATGGTTTACATTCAGTTTTATAACTGTATTTTTTTTCTTTTATTAGGTTTACTTGAGGCGTCTTACAAAACAGCAAGATAGGGAAAACATATTGCCAAGTAACAAGCCTAAACCAGCACCCAAATTCAGCCTTCAGCGACAAACTAGCGTTAAAGAAGGCACCGAACGAATCCGAACGAAAAGTCAAAGCGATGGCATGAAGCACAGTGCATCGGAAGCAAGTATTACTCGAGGTGATTATCATTTTTTTAATACAGTATAACATTCGTGTTTTTATTAAATGTTTATTAGTTAAAATTCTAATTAGTTATATCTTTGTTCTAGGAACGAACTCTTCTCGAGTAACATCTAGAAAAAACTCATTTTCAAAGCCCAGTCGAAACTCGAGTGTTCCCAATGTCTCAGCAGTGAAGAATATTAGGAATTCTGAAGTGCCTAAATCCATACATATAACTAATCGACCAGTAGATTTATATGTAAAAAAACTTTCACCAGATGATATTCCCGTTGAGGAAAACGAATTTGTGCCTTCTTGTATAGACAGACCTGTTGGTGTGGATTTTGATGATTTTTTGCCTGTAAGTAATATATTTATTTAATATTTTGATACGCTGTAAAATCAAAAGTGATTCAGTGTATTTGAAAGCTTAACAGAATCTGACACTTTTCATGATTTGAATATAAATGGAAAATTCGAATAGTATGAAAGAATAATACAAATTGCGACAATTTGTGCGTTATATCAAATAATATTAAGTAGCAGGAAGGTGTCTGAAAACTAGACCGACAGACGAAGGCACAAAATTCTAGAGATTATTTGATCTAAATCGTCTGATCCAAGAATGTAGGGCTATTGAAGATGGGCTTTTGACATGGTTTTTAATCGTTCATATTGATGATTATCTAGAATGATGAAATTCACATTACGTGTTCTTTACTTCTTCTTAAGTTTTTACGGTTTCAGTTAAAATATAGCGACCTGGTTATGAATAAAATCATCAGCTGATCGAAAATAACCCAATACGGTATTCTGTATGAGTTTGGGTTAGGTTAATAGATCTGATCCGGGCTAGTGCTTTTTAAATCATGGATAATTCCTCCAGTGAATCTGAACCTTTCGAAGACAGCGGTAAGGAATATCATTCATCGCATGAAGAAGAGAACCGTAGCAGTGTATTTAGCGAGCCTGGAACAATAATAATTAACAACAAAAAAGGAAAAAAATGATAAGAAGTATTAATGCTTGGAGATTTAATGTCATAAAAAGTAAGAAAGCTAAAGGTGAAGAACATGTAAACTGGAAAAATAAAATAATACCCCCACGAGTGACTGGACCAGATTGTGAATGCAAGTACCAGCGTACTTTGAAAATAAATGACGTCCAAAACCAGACAGTTTGTCCCAATTTGGTAACTTCGGGGACAAGCAAAAGCGGGACAATTATCTAGCTGGTGGAATATTAGGCTAATTGTGCATCAGTTTCCGGAACCAGGGCATCGTTTTTTGCCTTGTGATCATTCGTCCTAATCGAAAAAGAGAAGCGCAACAAGAAGTAGTTTATATTCCCAAAGGTTGGAGAGAGATTTGGTAAAGAACAGATCCAGAAAATGCACTGTAGTTGAAGTCAGTCAGGACATAATTCTAAACTTATCAGAACATTTGAAAAGTTTCAACCAACCCAAAAAACTTGCGAACGTTCGGTCCCTGGTTGATAGTGTATTTAATGCTGTTTGTCCATAAATACTGCAGGAAACCCCCGATAGCAAAGTTGAGATATTTTAAACCAATGGTATCTATTTAAGTAATTTATAATAAAAATCAATTTTTTTACCGTAAAATTAATTTTCCTATTATCTTTTCTGTAAAAAAACACCCCGCTCCGTTCTAACAAAAACGTATTTTTTATTTTTATAGAAATAACATTTTCGAGTAACGTGTCCCACAATAAAAGGAAAACTCCACCTTGTAATAATTTTTTTGTCTCAGATAAAGTAGTTTTTTGTTAATGCTGTAAAATCCTGAAAAACGGAGCTGTCCGGTTTTTGCACCATGCCCTTAATTATAACCATTACGCCCGAATTCTCGTCGCGATCTTGGGCTCGCATTCAGCATATTAGCGCGAGAATCGACTCGATTGAGTTTTGGACATCTGGACATGCTATTGTGCAGATTTGTATCGAGGAAATATTGCTGCTCAGAATGTAAATTGTTATTTTTCTAATTGAAAATGAGCCCTGCATACTTAGACATGAGATACCATTCGATCACTGAAAAACGCGTCATCCGGAGCGGAGTGTATGGGAGAAATAGACGACACATGAATTCATGATATTTGTAATAAGATCTGTGATTTTTGTCAGTGGCATTCTAATTGGAGTCGATCGGTTTTTGTCCCGCTGCACAAAAAAGGATTAAAATACAACTGCAAAAATTACCGTCTATTGGTATTATCCACGTCAGCAAACCAATGCTCCAAATTGTTCAATATCGATTAAACAACCGTCTGGATTGGCAAATTCCTCTTAATCATACCAGATTTATCAAATGCAGAACCAGATTTCAAATATTCGCCTTATAAATGATGATGAGCAAAGACAAAACTTAAGAAAATATGTCAGGACAACCACCAATACATAAAAGTTCTTGGTCACTATTCTGGTCTTCTTGATCATGATATATACAGCCGAAACGTTGACCTGGAAAGAGAACATCCATGACGCCGTTTAACTGTGATGCTGGAGAGAGCCGTGGGAGCCTGATCATACTAGATAGATACTTGGGATTGTGACTCTTCCATCAGGAAGATCTAGTGTCGGTCTAATTCCCGGAAACCCTGTTTAGATAAGCTAGTAAAACTTTGAAGTAGCAAATTGAGTGTTAAGCAAATTTAATTTTTCTAATATTTTTTTTCTAGAAAAATTTTGATATTCTGGGCTCCAGGAACTATCTTCCCGAAATGTCAGAAGCCGAAGGTCTTGGTCTGCTAATGCGAGGGCATGAACGAATGCAGAGCATTTTTTCAACTAGGAACCGCAATACTAGGCTAATTCTTGCCCATTTTAGAAACCGGGATATCAAACACTCTGTCGAATCAGCAGTCTCCATGGACGATATTAGCATTTTAATTGACATATTAGGAGTTATCAATAATAAATAGTAAGTATGTTTTTTATTCGTGTAATGTTTTTTTTGAGAAATAATTAATAACTGACTGTTAGGTTGAGTTACGCATGAAATTTTTGATCGGATTTTATATTTCATTCAAGCAATGAAGGTAAATTGAGATTCTGAAACATTTATATAGCAAACCAACAAAATTATAAGCCCCATGCTTTTGATTTTTGCCAAAGATTTGCGAGTTTTTATTTTTTACCGAAGGTAATATTAATTTTGTTTGCTGCGAGTTAATGTTTTCTGCGATTGTTTAGGCGACATATTGGGTTATTTTTTGCCGATTGTTTGTCGATGTATCCAAGTCACTGCATATTTGCAGTATTTGCTGTATATTCACTGCTTGAGTAAAAATACTTTGTTTAAAGTGTTAATTTATAAATATGTGGTTAAATTGGATTAACCTATATTTGCATTGTTTTATTTTAGCACTATTTGGAATTTGGATCTCTGCGTAACCATCCTACCCAAGCTCATAGATCTGCTGCAGAGTAAATATGAACAGTAAGTACAAAAGCTTACATATTTTTGCAAGAATAAATGTTGTATAAATTAGTGAATTAATATGTTTATCTGTTTTGAAATATTACAAAAAATCGATTTGATTGATTGATTGCCATAAAATATATCACATCTTTTAATTTACTTAACGTGAATGTTTTTTTCATTCGATGTCAGGCAAACCTGTTATCTTAAGAATTTCTTAAAACCGTTTTTAAAATTTAATTTATTACTCTGCTTTCATAACTTATTTTCAGCAGAATAAGATGCTCAAAAGTAGTTTTAATAATGGTTTTCAAAATTTGTGTTTTGGGAATAATCGGTAATAATATACAGGGTGATTCAAAATTGGCGTCGTTCCTTTTAAGGGGTGATAGAGGCTCACTTGGGGAGTACAAGGAAAATATTGAAATTTTTTTTTCGAAAATTTCTAGAAGATATTAACAGTTGAAGATCAAATTTCAACTTTGTTATTAAGCATTATTTAGAAATTGTTCCATGTGTAATTGGTAGCATATTGGAATACTTAAGCATTCAAAAAGAAAAATTACAATCTTTGCTTCAAATTACGACGATTTTTGATATCAAAAAAGTTCTCTTCTACAATTTTTTGATGAAAAATCACAACGGCAATGTGTTTTCTGTCATTAACAGATAGTTACAGGTGAATAGCCCTTGTCAATCATAACAATAATTTGTCAAACTGTGACTTACTTTGAATTTCCTTTCACGAATTTGCGAATATGCGATTAATTCAGGGGAAATGCTACAGTAACATAGCAGAAGCTGAAAGAACTCACGCCAACAAAGGGCGAGGAGAGTGGTTCCGGGAACAAAGTGGACGACAATCGATGTTCGGGTTCCAGACACAGAGGAACAAGTATTGGGCATCATCGAAACAGGGCCTTCCAGGGGCACTCAGAGCGCAATAACTAACACTTTTCCAAGCACCAAATAAATACCGAGGAAGGGCTACATTCCTACCAACAAGGAGATACAAATGGAGCACGAGTTAATTAACTGAATACGAGAAGCTGCTTGATAAGAGTGGATAATAAGAAGATTACTCAGGCACCAGCTTGTTTGCAGTTAACCATTCAAATGTTTGGTGTTGTATGGATTATTTATGTAAACACCAAACCCCGCAGAATTCGATGTTATGAGAACAGGTTGACATGTCGAAAGTACGTCGCGCAGTCAACGAATCTTGTTGAATTTACCGTTTATCCTTGTCTATCTTATTGTCACTCTGTATAATTCCATGGTTACCGGAGTTTTAAATAATTACGAAGCTACAGGTATTTGCGCAATGTTAATTAGACAGATTACCTTGAAAAACATTGCTGCCGTATTTCTGATATCGTTTTTTGGAAATTTCTCAGTTTTTAATAACAATTAATTTCTTTTACTATTTTTTCTATACTCCTATAACAGCGCCAGACAACACTTCCAGAGGAATGACGCCAATTTTGAATCACCCTGTAGATTATGACCTATTTTGTTTGTTGTTGAAGTTTGGCTGTGCTACTAGTTTGCCTAATGGCCGAAATGTTATAAAGTATTTCTTCAAAGCAAAGTTAAAGTTGCATCTACAAGAGCAAGGTCGCGTCCGCGTAAAAGAAATTTCAAACAAGTTGAATCACCCTATATATACGACCTACCAATCGTCAGGTGGATTGGGGGATGGTATAATTAATATCACTGAAGACTTGTATGAATAATCGACACTTTACACGATATCCGAACAATAAAAGAAATTTCATCTCAAGAAGCATTATTTTGCACCATGCTCTACTTGAAACGTTTCATTAGGGTGGAGTGATACACGATCATATCGAAGAGAGTTGCGGGGCGTCGGCATCGTTATTGTGTTGTTATTGTTCCGTTTGCTATTCAATAAGGCGCCGAATTTGAATGTCGTGTGCCATATTACAATTGGCGCAACACAGGATCAGGCATCCTGCTGGTAGACGGCGGGTCAATACACAGGGTGTCCGAAAGCTAAGACCACAATCGTAGAGAGCAAATTCGAGGATGATTTAATGTAGTTTTTCGCATCAAGCAGGTGTACTAAGCAGCATTCGTTATCTTCACATATCAGCCCTAAAAAAGCGACAGTATAACTTTTTCGATTTAGGTTTTTCCTGGAAAAATTTTCGTAGTTGAAATTTGACAAAAAATGTATTTTAATTTTTTTGAAATAAACACCCTGTTTGCAAAAATTTTGTAAAATACAGCCCAAAATTACCAAAACGGAAATTTTCCAACGAGCCTCGACTAAAACACGTTTATAGGGGAAAAATATATTGCATACATCTAGGCAGAATCTTACATTGGCAGAAACACACTTTTTAGAAAGTCAGTGTATTCAGCTCGATATTTGACTGCTAAATCTATAGTGGATTTTGGGTGGAAAGTCTCATCGATGCTTGAAAAACAAACTATTAGTGTACGGTGTGTCCCATTTTCGACGCGGCGTTTTCCTAATTCTAAGCGCTATAAAAAAAACGAATATATGTGTCATGTGCTCTTTATGGGTCAAGTTTGAAATGGAAAATGTTCGTTCGTTTAAGAGATACAGAGGGCAATTTTAAAATTGCCAGTTTCAAATTGACACTACATTATTTATATTCATATTTATATTGAACCGTTTTCGAAATAAGTATGCAGGGGTCGGGTAAAAAGTTATCGGTCCTAAACTTATTTTTTTTAAGGAACAATTGAATATTTGAATCTAAAAAGGTTATTTCTTTGGAAACTTGGGGGGGGGGGGATCGGTGGAAAATACATTTATAAAGGATTCATGAGACTTTTGAATAAATAAAACCATTACATAAAGTGAATGCCTTAAGATTCGGTCGATAAAGATGTGAAAAGGTCATTGAAAACAACGGAATAGTTTTCGAACATTTGGGATAATTTCCGATATTTTTACCGGAATTTGAATATTTTATTTCGTTTCAAAGTTGCTATTGTTATTTAATTTACTTTACTGTGCGAGCTATTTCTTTATTAAAATAATATATTTCCAGATATAAAATCAACACAGTTTAGTTTCTCTATTACTTATTATTATAAGCTTTTGTTTCATGACAAACTGTGGTTTAAAGAAAGAAAGTTTAAATAAACAAATTACCTAATAAATAAATTAATATATGACAATATTGTTCATGGTGTGTTCCATTGTTAAAGATAATGCAAAATTATGTTCTTTCGATTAAAATTTGCAGGGTATTGAATTTAAGAAAATGAGCTTAGAACCTTTCCCAGCTTTTTTACCTGATTACGTATAGTTATTCTGAAGACGGCGGGTTATTTAACAATCATAGTAACGAAAATTTTGAATTGGACATTTTGCCGTCTCTTAAGCAACCAAACATTTTCAAATTTTAATTTTACCATTTGAGTTTGACCCAAAAAGAGCACATCACACCTATATGATTTTTTTATAGCACTAATAATTACGGAGATACCCTAGAAAAATGTAGAAAATGATCTCAACCTCCTGTACAACGTCAATCCTAACTATGCCTGGGTAACTCTGTTGCTGGTATTACATTACGCAGCTTTCCTCAATTTATTGGCCAATAAACTGGGCCAATTATTGAAGGAATTTCCTTGACCGTCATCGAATTCACACTTGGATATTGTTCTCACAGTAACTTGCTGCCATTTTAGTAAAACCAACATAAATTTCAATACTTTAGTTCTGTTCGTTTGTGTTGGTGAGGATGTGTAGGTCATAGCACATGAACCAAGAGCCAAATTCTTTGCTTGTACCTCCAAAGAAACGACTAATTTTCTTATTAATTTGTTAAACTGATTCCATACAACACAGATTTTCAAAATATGTAATGCAATAAAAGAACAAGATAACCCAATTCTAATACCAAAAAGTTCTAGAAAATTTTTACAATCTACATGCTCTAAATCCGCAATAAATCGAACAATTTATCGCAGCCTGACTCCCCGCTTTACGCTTATATGTGGTGATCTTCAATAATTGACCCACTTTATTGGCCAATAAATCGAGGAAAGTGCATAGTTCAGCCTACATAACATTGAAATTTTGCAACGTTTTCTTAATCAGGAAAAAAAAATATTAAAGATTTATTTTCAAATAACCCTACTTGAAATGCTGATAAAAGTTGAAATAATGTTAGCAAATTGCTGTTTTCGTCTTAATTTTAGTTTAGGTTCCCAAAGCCTGTATTATGCATTTTGGAAAATAGAAACGGAACTAAACCGATTTTACAAAATTACAGGTTTTTGAATTGTGTTACTCTCAAGCACCCCTCAAGTACGGTTAGCTTCCATCAGCTGTATTTCGCCCGAAAATGACACACTTTCTGACTGAAAATCGGTCAATCAACTTTTTTCAAAACCGCTCTTGTTCATAGTTTATTATGGTCGGTTTTCTTGAATCGGAACGAATAAAACCGTTTGCGGTAGCAGCTGTCGGTCGTCAAATATTCACCTTCAACATCTCAATCCTTCGACAACAGTTAAAGCAACCCTTCCTTTCAACATAATATGCATATTAATAATGCAAACAAAGTGACAATTTTTGAACTCAACAAATCACCCTAGGTGTCATGTTGCCCATGTCTCTTTGATGCGAAACGTCGAGAACTCTTCAGCGTGACATAGAGATCTCTTCAAATTTGAATATGACTGAAGAGTTTTGATATGTTATATACAAACATTGCATGGGCTGGTAAATGGTTCAGTGGTAGGGTGACAGTAGTGAATACCGTTCATATAATTATTGTTTAAGTTTTTCGAGTTATGGAAATAATGCCCCTGTTAAGTAATTTTGTTTGCCAATGATGTGGATTCTTTCGCACTTCATCATGGTCAGGCTTTAACATGGTATGCGGATGATCGGAAGATTTTACTGAATTTGTAGGTGGGGACATAATGTTTTCACTACAGTTAACAGGGAACAAACTATTATTAAATAAATTTAACGATATTTAGGATAAATCAATGTAAATAGTAGT